CAACCTTCTGATCGTTGACATTCCAGGGGAAAACAACCTGGACAAGCATTGTGGATTCGGAGGTGAAAGCATCATGACTGACTCTAACTTGTAGCGCGTTAGCTGGAAGAAAATAGTGGAAATGGAATCAGCCTTTGTACGCTCTGTTCGCTTGCTTTCTTTGAACGTGGATGTGCTGCGAATGGTTCTCTCACTTATTTCTGGAAAAGTATCGTCGCAGTTATCAAATTGCGTCCCTCTGGTGTGAGGATCTAAGTACTTACATGTGAAACCAAAACTGGCAAGTAAGGTAACGCAAGTTTTTGTATTTGACCACAATTTGTGCACGGGGGTGTTTTGTAGTTCGAACGATGGCATGTTGAACAACTGCCGTCACGACTGTTTCTTCTTAAAATTGGAAGTCTTCCTGGTTTGACCAGGAAGATATATATNATATATAACGCTTTCTGCGACCGACTCTGTTGCATTCGCACACTTCGGGGCGGAAATGCTGTGAATACGTACATCATTTTCTTTGGCAATGTGAAGATGCCATGCAAGGAATTGTCAGCTGCACGTTCTCAGTCACTTCTACTACTGTAGCGGTTCAACAATATACGCATTGGATGAGTGACTTTCAGTTTCAGAAAATACATATTAGCATCCTGATACATCATTTAGATGACGACGACTTAGTTCTGGTGCCTAACCAGTAAGTGCAGCGTTTTTTATTTGTGTATGAAGACGCTCACGCGTACATGCAAACAGATGTAAGGAGCGAACTACTCTCATTTGAAAAAAATTGATTTTCCGAGAAACACACCTGAAACCCAGCTGAATCCCTCGATTATGGTGTGCCCAAACAACTAAATCTGCCGCATTAGGCTGCCTCATGTTTCAGCTGGTAGGGTATTCGAGATATCGCGATACATTTATATATACGAAATGCACTACTCACAAGAATTTTCAGCAAACTTGTTGGTAGCGCATTACGAATATAAATGTGAGAAGCTTTCAGAGGCCGCACAGTTCAGTGCTGCAAAACGAGCCATTTATTCTGAAGGTGGTGAATCGGCCACACGAAGCCCCAACACCAGCGTGTGCAACCTGCATATGTACTTGGGTCAGCAGCACAGTCATTGATTCATCTGATGATGATGACCAAACAAGTTTCTTCTAGGGCATCATCCTGAGGACAGCACCATTGGGCGCATAGTTAATTTAAAGAACTACGTCATTCACGGCCATTTCGACAGCTCAGAAATGCGTGTCTCCCAATAACAGTTTCATGGTGTTTTACAGGACAGGCATATTACTACGCTGAAATAGTAATTGACGGACGTCCCCGGTACATCAACCATGAATAGCTAACTGATAGCACTGTCCATTGTTATGCTAGCTTAACCCGGCCGAACCGATGGCTTTCAACTGGTTTCTGAAAGTTCGTCTACCGATTTCATCCACTCAGATTCATATCGGTATCAGGGGCTGGCACACGGAACCCTATTCTACGCCTCGTTACATACCTAGGGTTTCTTACCATATCTGGGAGTCCGGTGGTTTGACCTCCTCTAGACCGGTAAGTCTGGTTCAGATGTCACCCATTTAGAACTGATGGACGACTTAATAAGCCAGCAAAGGAGCACACGCCTGAAAATCGCATAGTATGTTAGGTGGAGTACAGGGTCAGATCACCTATCGCCAGGCGTCCGATCAACGAAGGTCGCAAAACTGAACTCAACACATCGGTTTTGAGATTGCAACAAATCACGTGGTCACAGAGACTGGAGTTTCTCGAGAGGATACTGGCTAATCCGCTTGATTAGTTATGGGTAATTGTCTGTCTTCTACATTCAGAAGAACCTAAACGGTATTGTGATACTGCCTTGTTCCAGACATACATAAATGCTGTATGCTGCATCATATTATACCTTATACCGTTTTGCAGGATTACTGCGGATAAGTGTGTACGAACCTGATTCATCCTGCAGCCACCTCCCTTGGCCATGCTCAAACTGATCAGAGAACGATATTACTTTAAACAATAACAGCAATGTTAATTCGAACAACAAACCGTAGTGCAGTTTCAATATATGAGGTTTGGGGAGAATTTGCTAGTCCCATTCACCTACCCTGCTTTTGTAAGGTCTAGTGTGAAGTCAGAACTTCTTTCGTTCCTATAAATTTCAACTGTTCTGCGCTGTCTATTTAGATAGATAATCGACATGTGGGCAACTCACAAGTTGTTTTTATACTTCCTTGATAACCAGATATTTGTAGGTTACGCTTAAGGGATAATTTTCAAAGTGAACAAAGTCTAGGAAACGTTTCCCTCACTGTTGTACCTTGAAGAGGAGCTTATAAAAAGCGACAGTAAAATAAAAAATTAAAAGTTACTACATTACTAATGACTTAGCCATTGGTGCACAGTTTGATGCCAAGGTAAAAAACCGGCCACGCTTCGAGAACTCATTATCTCCCAACTCGGTCATCGATAGATAAGCTATACGCTGGTAGGAATCGTTGAGCAAATGTTGAAATGAACTTACACGAAGTTTTAACTGGGTTTTGATTAGGCATTGCATATGCTATTTCAAGGAGGTAGTGTATTCCTTCGTAAGAAGGTTACTTTCCCTAAAGTTCCGAATCTCATTCAAGCCTTTCACTAGGCAACCCATCATTTTTGCTTAGGCGTCCGAATTAGCTGAATGGATAGCAAAGGTCCCAAGAACAAAAGACTTGTTGATCTTGACAACGATAACCAGTATACTTACAGTAATAACCAAGATACCATTTCCTGACAAAATATCACGTTCAGTTTTTCCAAGATCTTATATTTTTTCAGTTAAGCCAGTCCGTTACTGATGTTTTTTTACTTCCAGCTAGTTTAATAAAACTTACCGAACGTTTTACATGCCTCCTGATGAAGAAGGAACCGATGTGATAGCAAGCTGAGATGTAATTCTCAGTGATATATGAACTGTCATTTCCGACAACAACACCATTTGAGAACACCGGTGCTTCGCTGTCACAGAACCATGTCAGGTCATTTGAATGGATAATTATAATGGAGAAAAGAAAGGAACAGAGCAGGGGATGACCAACTGGACTAGCCTACAACAAGCATACACCTACAGCGCTCGGTCAGACAATCGAGATGGAAACTGACAGCATGAATGCTGCTGACATCGGTTAGCCATTCAGTATCTTCAGCCAAGCATAGGGGGTCATACTAAATGTATTCATATAAACTGATAAGATCTCCAGTCTTTGAAAGACTGGGCACTAGAAAAAACTGATCGGTATTAGCCGCGACAAACTGCCAACAGGGAGCATCCATCGCTTTCTTCGACATGGTTATGAATGTGTCTGACAATTTATCTAAAGAGGGGTGATTAAAAATCGTTCGCTGCGTGACGCCGCGCAACAGATTTTATTTAATTGTACGGTAACCGGAAAGACGATCATATACTAAAGTTTGCCTCACCAAGTTGCATAGTTTTTTTCATGATCTTAAAAGATTAATGAGATCCCCCAAATTGCATTTGCATTTCGGAGATTTTACTAATTGCATCTGTGTTGCCTCGCCGAAATAGACGAGTGAGTCAGGGTAGTGCCTTATTAATCCAATTAGATTGAAGAATCAAAAATATTCCTTTTAGCTGTCCCCAGTTAGTGACATTCATAATCATTATGCCTTCTGGATGACCGATTTGGTGAAAAATTATCAGGGCTCTTCTGCCATACCAGTAATAAAATTTTCAGGATTTGCCAGTAGTTCCTGTATCTGCAAAACAAGTTACTGTACACTGAGATGAAATGTACTTTCAAATGTGTTATCGCAATCAATCGGTCAACTGGTGATGAAGTCACATAGTGTTCTATGTTTTTCTATCGTGACGGTTGTTCAGTTGGATGCGTCAAGTGTGTTGAATAGAAACAGCAAATACGTAATAGATTTGAGGGCAGGAAAAATGTGTAGAAAAAATGTGACCGCATTCAAGGGCTTTGTGAATCACGCTATGCTAAAACGGGGTTCCCGTGCGAGATCACCGTGATTATACATTATATATTTGTGATTATACAGGCTAAACCTCTGAAGCCAAAGCTGAAACAAATCAGAACGACAAACGCTGATGTATTGTGACCAAAAACGCTTGCATGCTGATGCAGAAATTCGTTGTGGAACCGAAAGTAGAGGCACATGCTTAAGCCAACGATTGGGAGAGCAACTAATCAAGCCAAACTGAAACAAATCAGAACGACAAGCGCCGATACCAGAATATGTATTGTGACTAAAAATGCTCGATTTCTGGAGCAAAAAGATGGTGAGTAGAAGCACAGGCTTAAGGCAACAATTAAAAAAGCAAAGAACTCTTGTGATAGGATAGATCAGTTTATTTGTAAATCAAGCATCGTTGCTCAATCTGTGATCCAGGCCATCACAATCCAACTGGACGCTGATGTATTGTGACCAAAAACGCTTGCATGCTGATGCAGAAATTCGTTGTGGAACCGAAAGTAGAGGCACATGCTTAAGCCAACGATTGGGAGAGCAACTAACTCCTGTGATAGGATAGATCAATTTATTTTTAAGTCAGCCATCATCACTCAGTTTTTGATTCAGGCCATCGCAATCCATGTGGTTTTTTAGCTTTTCAGGTCGGTATAAAATTACGTAGATAGTTTTACTCGCTTTTAAGGAATGATGACTAGAAGCAGTGGTGACTAAGATCCGCAGCTTTCCTTTGACTCATTATTTCAATTGTTTTGTAGCTGAATCCAGACCGTTTACGAAATTGTTTTCGAAATACGAAATCCTCTCGATCATCCTTACACTTTGCCATTCCCACCAGTATTAACCGCATTTCTTGTATCCTTGAAGCACAGTTTAGTCGTCATCGTTTGCCCAAGATACCTTGTGCCACTTGTTGTTTCCTCCCTATTCACTCTTCGTGGGAGAGCTCTGGGAAGGTGTCAATGTTTGAATAGGAGTTTAACGCCAGACCGATGGCACTTACGACGGAGTAGACTGTCCATATCAGGTCGATAGCGCCTGTCATTCGATGAATTAACGTTTTCGGGGTCAGTTCATCAAAAACTGGAGTGAGCTTGTAGCCAAGTTAGCTCCAAGCTACCACCGAAGCGCGCTAGCCACCGTTTTGTCACTTCTAGTGCGAATGTGGTTGCATTCGAACTACGCCTCGATGCTTTAGACATGGTTCTGCTGAAAAGACTAGTCAATGTCAGCACTTTTCAGTACTGTTTGATGTGCAAAAAATTCGAACGTCAATAGAATGGACAGCAGATTATCCCTTACTACGCTGACGAGAAATTCTTCACATCTTCAGTGGGAACGCCGTGGGAATACCCAAAAAGACTGATCGGTTTGGCACGTCACTACGCAAAGGCAGGCTAGGCTTCATTTAAAAAAATTCGGTATGGGGTATTGATTGGAGGATATGATGAGAATGACGTAGTTGCTGCATGAGCACAGTTTGCAAGAACCACAGAAAAACTATAACAAAAAATATAGCAATATATCTTTCCCACCGTTTGGTGAATGAAACCAGATCCATTCCAAGATTATTCTGAGGCATTTCCGAGCGAAAAACAATGACTTGCGGTCTATTGTCCATGGTGTTCTAAACAGTGTGTGTGGCTCCGATTGCCTGCATCGCGCGTGAACCTGGATCACCGCCAAGCTTCGCGAGTTGACCCGGTCACCTGGCTTGTGACCACAAATATGTCCTTGGGACTGATTCCATTAACGACAGGTATCAGTTCGTCACCCAACAGCTCAACGAGTTGATTCGGAAAATGCTCTCTTGTTCGCGCTTTACGGTCCTCATGTATCCCAGTAATGTAGTTTTATCGTATTCAGAGTTGTGTCGGTTTTTTATAGAGCTATGTGGTGAAGTGATAGGCGGTTGCTGTCGTTTTATATGCCTATCGACAAAGTTAGGAAATAAGGCTACACTGGGGTTTTTTGGAGGCCCGATGTATGGAACCGTGGTGCGGTAGCGTAAAATTTGCCAGCGCTTTTGAATCTTCATTACCTGGATTGCTGACGAATCTAAAACAAATACTTTATCACAGTATGCTTGTCAACAAAGTATCCATCACATTCACTGCATCCATAATGAAAGTTCAAATAGTATAGTCAGGAAACCACTAATTTCAAAAGCTGTCCCGCCGATGCATGCTTTCTGTACACCAAGCGAGACAGCGAACCCTCCGAATTCTTTCGTTCACCGGTGTCCGGGGAGGTGGGGTAGGTAGCTGCACGTTGTAGGCGGGAGCTGATAAATTCGTGCGTAAATACAGCACTGTCAGTGGGCTGTCAAGTGGGGGGTTGGAAAATGAGCTATGCATTGAAAGCAATAGCTTGGATGCACGAGCGCCATTGAGGGCGCGACTGGGCCATGTCTGATAATGTCTCTAGCCATTGATGTGGCCCGCAGGAAGACGGCAGTGACCAGCGCAGCTGAGTTTGCTGGTAATTGCTTTCATACTTCGCTGCCAAGTCATCGTTTAACCGCCTCTGGCTCTCTCCCACCCTTCACGTGGTTGTGCGAGAAGAGCCCTTTGAGGAAGTCGGTCGACTGGCATACGCAGCACGTGGTCAAGCCGGCGCAACCTTTACAGTGTGATCAGTTCACTTACATTCGACGAACTTCAGCGGTGCTGATCCGGCGTTCCCAGCAGAATCAGGATATGACATCGATAGTCAAACACTGAATGTCTTTTGACGTCCTCGGCGCGCAGCGTCCAGGTGTCTGATCCGTACAGTAATATGGAATGCACCGCAGCATTGTAAAATCGGCCGTTGGCAGGGAAGCTGATGTCACACCCTTGCCACAATTGACGCAGGTTCACAAAAGCGGCTCTGGCCTCCCCAATCCGGATGATAACATCATCTTTCGCCAGACCACCGGAAATGATACAGGCGCCCAGGTAAACAAATTTGTCTACTCCCTTAACCGGTTCATCCGTAAGCATGAGGCTAGGGTTCGAGCCCACCCAGTCTTGCAGTAGCACTTTACGCTTTGTAGGTGTGAAGCATATGCCTGCGTACTCGATGTCTGTGAACGGAGGTCCAGGAAGCACTTCGACCCCACAGGCGTTAGAGGTTGGTAGTGATTTTTCCATGATCATATCAACGACGAAGTTGAAGAGGAAAGGTGAAAGAGGACAGGCCTGTCGGACACCACTGGATGTGGTTAACTCAAGAGAAAACTTCCCGTAGACCTTTACCCGGCCGCGGGAGTTGGCGTACAGCGCCTTAATGAGGGTCAAGAATTTATGGGGAACACCTTTGCTCCACAGACACTGCCATAGTGCTTGGTGGTCCACAGAGTCAAAAACAGCTTTCAGATCAAGAAACACAACCATTGTTGGCTGCTGGAAGCAGCTTCACTGCCCCGGAATCGGTTGGACGGAACCCAGCTTGGTTTTCACGGATCTGCCTCTCTCTTTGTTCATTCAACCTGCGAAGTATAAGGCCAGCGGGCACCTTCAATGTCACAGCTAACATGCCGATGCCATGGTGGACAGCAGCTTTTTACTCGCAGGTTATAAAACTCACTGATCTGCCACAGTTGAATTTCAGTAGCCTGGTTTCTGGTGCTGATGGTCGAAACGCGCTGTTGATGCCGATTGCGATTGATGACGCACTATTTAGCAGTTTGACCATTTTGGTCTCACTTGCTTGCTAACCTGGAACATCAGTTAATTTCTGTTAGTTTAATACTTGTTAATAGTGATCACAACTGTAACATAGTTTGCAAAACCACCGTCATTTAAACGTTAAACGGATGGGTAACATTTCTAAAAATAATACAAGCAAGCTGTTCGTTCGGGTTTTGTCGCAGAAAGCAAAATTTCAACGTTCCCAGCGGGCACCTTCAATGTCACAGCTAACATGCCGATGCCATGGTGGACAGCAGCTTTTTACTCGCAGGTTATAAATCTCACTGATCTGCCACAGTTGAATTTCATTCAGTAGCCTTCTGGTGCTGATGGTCGAAACGCGCTGTTGATGCCCATTGCGATTGATGACGCACTATTTAGCAGTTTGACCATTTTGGTCTCACTTGCTTGCTAACCTGGAACATCAGTTAATTTCTGTTAGTTTAATACTTGTTAATAGTGATCACAACTGTAACATAGTTTGCAAAACCACCGTCATTTAAACGTTAAACGGATGGGTAACATTTCTAAAAATAATACAAGCAAGCTGTTCGTTCGGGTTTTGTCGTTTCAAACATCGACCGCCGAATTTTCCTCTTGTCAAGTGGCAAACGTTCATAGATGAATTCTTCAGTAGTTGCGCACACGTCCGACTGAACCTGAGCCGTTTTAATGGCTTAAGTAAAACTCAGAATTTAGGTTTACCGGTTAGTTTGAAATTATAAGTGAACAGTGGATTTAGCCCGGTTCGGAGATAAAGGAAGTCGGGAACGAGAAAGAAATTTTACACCCTTCCGTGTCTTACAGTGGGATGCTCGCAGCACCCTAAAAATCCGGCCTTGGGTGTAGACTGTCAATGAGTCTCAAATAAATCTTCCGGTTGAACGACTCACTGGGAACCTAAGTTAGCCTGATAGTGCTACGATGTGCAATCTGATGTTATGTTATACGATTTCATAGATTCTGAAAGATCATTTGGAGGGTTTGGATTTCGGCGGAATTCTCCTGAATGTAACTGCGTATGCTTTATAATAAACAATAAAATGCTGGTAGTATGAGGAGATCTGAGTATTTGGTGGAAAGTTCGTCCTGTGAGTGAAGCTGACCTATACTGAATAGCCGAGAAGCACTTATATATTGGCGATGCCCCGTATTGTGTATATTACAAAAAAGACAACCAAGTGAGATACCCATAGATAAGACTGCTGGCATGTTGCCCCATAATTCTAGTTCCGAATCGTCTGTGCACAGTCGCAAGAAGTGACCTTGCGAGTAGACAGGCTGTATACGATTTTCTTCATGAATGTGAAACTGTTTGTCATGAAATTAGACGCGAAAAGAGGTTTGGGGAATTTATCTGTGAGATCATCGGACCGAGATTTGTTACTGGTCCTGATAGCAGTAGAACGAACGTCCCTAATTTCCCCTTGTCGGTTTCTTGACCAACCTAACCACACAAACTTTTTCCTTCACAAAATGTTCCTTTTTTTTATGATCAGATTGGTTCTAAGTGACCTGACTAGTTGGATATTTCTAACATGGTTTTGAAATAACTTATAAACGTCCTTCCTTATGTCTATATACATGTGCCGTTTACAAACCCTCCGTCCGTCAGATAAAAAATAAAGGCCGCCCCATCATGCCACGCTAATCAGCTATTGTTGGTCCGCCCAACCGCTTGAGGTGAGTTATACTGGCCTACAATATAAAGCCGTCTAGAATTTTCTGACTAGCTTCCACAGCGGTTAGCGCCATAATGTCATCAGTTTGGCTTCAGCAGACAAGATACCAACACAATGGCGCAAAGGATTATGCACCCACTCTCAACGAAGCCTAAGATTGAATTTTCGGTGATTGAAAAAACTACTAGGAAACAAATTGAAACGTGTGTGAAACGCCTGATACGTGTGTTCAAATCGGGTTCGTACAGGCGCCAACGTGATCAATTAGTCAAGCTTTCAAACCTTGAACCAGTATTAAACCAAACACGAGTTGACCACTGGGCTTCATTCAGATGGAGGTTATGTTACAGCTTGTCGATTTCAGTATTTTCCGCACATATATACATATGAGTAGATATGAAAAACACCTCTTTTCTACACCCGTGTTTTCCGTTTTGGGGATAGATCTGATCTGGTCTCATAGATATTCCTCAAAAGCCTAGGAAATCCGTGATTTAACACAGGTGGCTTGAGTCAAATACAATACAAAATGATGCAGAACCGTTTCCCCTCACCATTGCAGCTGTTATAAATTTATCAAACGATTTGTACAAAACTAAGGCGAGGAATTAAGACATAAAAACGTTCTGCAACATGTGGATCTGAGGTATCGCGATAACACGTGTAAGGCGGCTAATGCAAAGGTCACA